ATGCATGTGAATCAGAAAATCAGTCAACATGAGCATCTGTTTATTTTATTTGATATCATACGTTAAAGAAAATCAATTGAAATGTTCTCATAAGATTTCACATTGGATAGGAATTCGTTTTCATCTATTGCATTCACTGGTTGAAGTATGTTCACTAGTGCATACGTACTCAAATACGTTTACCACTAAAAAAGAAGGTATCTGATATCTTTTTTCAGAAAAAATCAATGAAGAAATAAACATGATTTATTCAAAGTAGTATCTTCAATAATATACATATAAAATATTTTAGTTGACATAAGAAACTGAAAAGTCGAGATTAAATAAGCAATATAGTGTTTTTTGTTGTGCTTTTCAATATCATCTATCAGTTCATTATAGCTTTAGTTTTCGAAAAACTAATAATATTAGACGTATCTGTCCATTCTGATATGTCTAGAGTAGATATTCGTTCCAGACTTTCTATCATTGCTGCTGTTGAATCAATAGCTACAATACAGACATCACGATTTGCTCGACGTTGTCTTTCACTCTCTAAGCATAATTGAATATCTTGAATATGTTCTGAAACTTTATTGGCTTTTTCTTCAGTATCCGCCATATAACGCATGAAATGCATATTTGCTGAATTTAATTGAACTAAACCTTCAAATATTTTTTCCAAATAGTTAAGTGCTTTTAACTGATGACGAGCCCAAAATTTTTTCACCAAAATAATGACACTACCAGCAGCAACTCCACCTATAATACATGCACCGATGATGGCAGCTATCGGAGGAAAAGCCGTTCCAGCAATAACTAACGCGCCCACACCGCCAAATGCTTCGGTTCCGATCAATCCTCCAACTGCAGTTCCTGCTGTAAGAGAGCTGACGGGCATAGAATATTTAAAGCAAAAATTAGCTACTTCTAGTCGTTCCTCAACGATGACTTTTTTCGATTGGACTGAATTAGTCATATTGTGTATGCGTTCGTCCAATTTCTGACTTTCTGCTGTTGATAATTTAGCTAAGTTGAGTAAGTTTTGTATTCCAGTTGACATTCGATTCAATGCAAGTTCAATATCTTTTTTATCGATTTGATTGAGTGTCTGAGTTGGATCTATACTCATAACTTCGTGAACGATGGTCATTTGAGTTTTTGCAGCGGTAAGTATAGGAAGCATCATATTGATATTGTGCTTTGCTTGCATTACCATTCGAACAAAACATTGAATAAGATCTCGAAGTTCATTTGCCATATCACTGTATTCTTGAACTTCTTTCATCATATTTTCCAGTAATTGTTTGATACTATCTACTAACTCTGGAATTCGATACAACTTTTCAGCAAATGGTAACGAAGAAAAGTTAGTTGCGATGGATAAAAATTGCCGGAAACGATGAGTTTGGTCATCTTCACCAGCAAAGTTAGTCTTTTTAATAGCAGCTTCAAGTGATGCTTCAGCAATTTCGAGTGGTTCAAATGAATCCCAGCTATTGTTTCGCAAAAATTCTTTACTAACTCCTTGAATATATGCGTCAATGCCATCATGCTTCATCTGTTCTCTTTCTTGCGTTGCTTGAAGAAATTCTTCATTGTTAGCATCCATTGTATTAATTGTTATGTGTTATCTAGAAGCACATTATTTGTAGTGGAATGTTATTGCTCAATGTTTCAACTGTTGATGAAAGTGAACACAAGCATAAAACGATAGGGTTACTCGATCTTCGCTAATTATTTACCAGAGTTCAGGGGGCGTACTAGTAAAAATCTTGTGGACATTCGCCAAAATTCACGATAGCCTACTCGAACGGTACTAATAACGGTAGGCGTTGAATTATTCAACTATAGATCAAAAGCTACTGTATGGAAATTATGAAGATTTCATATCATATATTAATACCATCTGTTCTAATAGTTGAGAATGTGCTGGAGCTTCACCAGTATTGGTGAATATCCAAGTCACTTTCGATAATTGTGGACTGCGAAATTTGGTGCAGTGGCGAACTTCGGACCACTCAAACGATAATTGACTTACCTTATCATAACATAAATACTGAAACAGTGAAGTCTGAATAAAGCTTTTTAAGAGTAAAA